CCTGCCATTTCACTTCAGGTGTCACATCCTTTAAGATGCTACCCCTTGCCAGGTGTGGTGGCTCACGCCTGTAATCCCAACTCTTAGGGAGGCAGAGGCAGGAGGATAGCTTGAGCCCAGGAAATTGAGACCTGCCTGGGCAATATAGCGAGACCCCGTTTTCCACAAAAAGGAAAAAAGCAAACAAACAAAACACAAGTGTAAGAAGCTACCCTTGAACCCATCCCACCCTCAGTCTGATTTTTGAAGCTGTTTCCTGAGAGGAATTCCTCAGAGGAATGTTTCCTCTGAGGGCATCCTGGCACAGAGGTACTGCTATGGCAAAGACATTGAGTCTGCCCGCCCCACCAACTCAGAGCTCCTCAGGGGCAGGAATATGATATATACAAGCAGTTCATTTCATCTCTACAAACTGAAATGATTCGTTTGTCTTAATAATGTTGCCATTTTAAAGTACAGAATTTGAGAACTAGATGGAATCTCAGATGCCAATTATTCCAACACTCCACTCTTTTCTGAGACTTTAAATGAATTGCTCCAAGTTATAAAAGAATCAGGACCCAAAGCCAAACCTTGAAAATGCTACTCCAGTGCTTTGTGTCTGCATCCCATGCTGCCTTGCCTTCGTAAATTCACAGGATTAAATAAGGGAATCCTAAAAATTGTGTTCAATTCCCCCTTCACTTCTACCCCGATCAATTTTACAGGCAAAGAAACACCATTGGAGGCAATGAAGGGCTGTTCTCACAATGACATGGTTCACAGCAGAGCTGGGATGAAAACTCAGATCTAATATGCCGGACAGTGTTCTTCCCACAACTTCATAAAAAATCAACTTTCGAGTACAGGTCGTGGGTGTAGAGCAAAGGTCAGCATGGCACAGGGGCCAAATCCTGCGTGCCACCTGTTGTTGAGTATGGTTTGCAAGCTAAGAATGTTTTTTACATTTTAAAATGGTTATAAAACAAGAAAGAATACTTTGTGAAGTATATGAAGTTCAAATTTCCAGCGTCCGTGAATAAAGTTTGGTTGGAACATAGTCACGATCATTTGTTTAGGTCCTGAGTAACAAGGGCAGAGCTGAGAAGTTGTGAAAGAGACCTCAAGAAATAAGGCCACACATCTAATACCATCTGATCTTTGACAAAGTCAACAAAAATAAGCAATGGGGAAAGGACTCCCTGTTCAATAAGGAGTGCTGGCTAACCATATGCAGAATAAAATCGGACCCCTATTTATTACCATATACAAAAATTCATCCAAGATGGATTACGATTTAGATGTAAGACCACAAACCATAAGAATCCTAGAAGAAAACCTAGGAAAGTACCTTTCTACATCAGCCTTGGGAAAGAATTTATTACTAAGTCCTCAAAAGCAATTGCAACGAAAACAAAAATGACAAATGGGACCTAATTAAACTAAAGAGCTTCTGCACAATAGACGCTATCAAGAGAGTAAACAGACAACCCTCAAGATGGGAGAAAATATTCACAAACTATGCATTTAAGAAAGGTCTACAAACCAACAAGCAAAAAGAGCAACCCCATTAAAAAATAGGTAAAAGATATGAACAGACACTTCTCAGAAGAAGACATACAAGCAGCCAACAGACATGAAAAAATGTTCATCACTAATCATCAGAAAAATGCAAATGAAAACCACAATGAGATAATATCTCATACCAGTCAGAATGGCTTTTGTTAAAAAGTCAAAAAATAACAGATGGTGGTGAGGCTGCAGAGAAAAGGGAATACTTATACACTGTTGGCAAGAATGTAAATTAGTCCAGCCACCATAGAAAGCAATTTGGAGATTTCTCAAAGACCAAAGAGCTGAACTACCATTCGACCCAGCAATCCCATTACTAGGTATATACCCAAAGGAAAATAAATCGTTCTACCAAAAAGACACCAAAACCAGATACTGCATGTTCTCACTTGTAAGTGGGAGCTAAACATTAGGTAGATGTAAACTTAAAGATAGGAACAACAGACGGGAAAGACTACCAGCAGGAGAAATGAGAGGGGGCTGAAAAACCATCTATGGGTACAATGCTCGCCACCTGGGTGACGGATTCATTCATACCCAAACCCTAAGCATCACACAATGTATCTCTGTAATAAACCTGCACAAATACTCTCTGATTCTGAAATAAAGATTTTTTTAAAATTGCAAAGTCTAAAATATTTAGTATCTAGACCTCCACAGAAGTTTGTCAACCCCTGATGGAGGAAGAACAAGCCGTCTTAGAAGTCAGAAGAAAATCAGTTCTACTACCATCAAACTCCACAGCCCTTAGTTTAGAAAAACAAAGGGAGGCTGGGTGCAGGGTTCATGCCTGTAATCCCACTTTGGGAGGCCAGGGCAGGTGGATTGCTTGAGGCCAGAAGTTTGAGACCAGTCTGGGCAACATAGCAAGACCTCATCTCTACAAAAAAATAAAGTAAAATAAAAATAGCCCAGTGTGGTGGCTCATGCCTGTAGTCCTAGCTACTTGGGAGGCTGAGGCAGGAGAATCACCAGAGCCCAGGTGTTCCAGGCTGCAGTGAACTATGATCATGCCACTGCACTCTAAACTGGGCAACAGAGTGAGACCCTGTCCCTAAATAAAATAAGATAAAAACAAAGAGTTTGGATGAAACTGATGCACCACCTTCATTCTCTCACATTTTCATGCTTTCATGCTAAATAAGAAGGCACTCATCCTCAGAGTTCATGCCACCCAGATGGGCAGAGGGTTAAACTGAGACCTGTCTAGTTTGAAAGAAGCAGTAGGAAGAGACAGAGCTGGCCCAGGAACAAGAGGCTTCCCAGAGCATGCCCTCTCCACTATTCCATATGTACCTAAATGCCTGGTAAGATCTTTGCCAGCTCACTCACCTGATTCCAAGATAGTAAGCTTTCCTTGATTCTGAGAGTAACTCAGCCCACCTAAATGGAGGAAGCAAGGGCCAAGCATGACTTTTTTTTTTTTTTTTTTGACAAGATTTTCACTCTGTTACCCAATCTGGAGTGCAGTGGGACAATCTCGGCTCACTGCAACCTCTGATTCCCAGGTTCAAGAGATTCTCCTGCCTCAGCATCCCAAGTAGCCGGGACTACAGGCATGTGCCACCACACCGGGCTAGTTTTTGTCTTTTAAGTAGAGACGGGGTTTCACCATGTTGGCCAGGCTGGTCTTGAACTCCTGACCTCAGGAGATCCATTTGCCTAGGCCTCCCAAAGTGCTGAGATTACATGCGTGAGCCACTGTACTGGGCCCAAGCATGACCTTTTAGGGTCAGCCACCTGAAGTAGAATCCTGCACTGGCCCCTTACTCCCTATGAATCCCAGGGCCAGTTAGGGCTTTCCAGTTTTCCCACCTAAGAAGGTAAGTACTTCCTTCACAGGCTTGTTTGGAGAATTCAATGAAATATACTCAAACTGTCAGCTCCGTTGTAATCATTCTCTCTCCCTTTCCCAGAGGCAGTGTTTGGAGAGTAACAGAAAGTAAGCCTTGTTAGGAAAGTTTCTTTCAAATTAACTTAGAGTTTAAGAATTTTTTTCTAGAGCCCTAGAAAAAACACCCAATCAGTGCAATAAAAATAGGCTCAAGTGTTCAGTTGGGTATTTTCCTCTCATATCTTAGTTCTTTGAAGCTTCTTCCAAATTATAATCCAAAAATAAGAGTGCTATAATTTTTAGAAAAGTTATGTTGATGTAACTTTTATAGCAAGCTACCCAAAGAATCAAGCTATAATATATTATATCCATGCTCAGTTACGAAGACCAAAACTATTTAAAAAATACCAGAACCAGAAAGTTCTAGTTTATTTAGTCTGGCTTCTTTAACATCAAGTTCTTGTTGTTCTTAAAATATTCAGCTTTGGCTGAATTCCAAGACTGACATAAGCCTACTTCAGGTGCTTGGAAGAGGCTGAAGAGAATCAGAACTGAAAACAAAATTGGAAAATAAAGCCTTTTATGTGATCACAAATGCAAGAAGTGTATTGTTTTGAAACCAATGAACCAGGTTTTTACCCACAAATGTAAACATAAACGTATATATTCTCAACACAGGATATACAGGGGGCTAAAGGTTAATTTCCATAACATGGTATTAGTCCTAACATTTGCTAACAGGCAGTTAATTGCTTCAGTTACTAGAACCGCCTTAGCATTTTCTGAAATCTGAGATAGGTTGAAAAGATACATTTCTTCCATAGATTATGCTAGCAATCACTTTAATGGCCAAACTAATGTTGCTATTAGGATAGCATATGGTTGTTTTAGACAATGTTAGATAATAAACTTTCTAGCCCACCATGGTATATGGGGTAATTTTAAAAAAGACCCTGGTTCTCTCACCAAAATCCTTACAAAGATGCACACAAGTTCAGTGTAAGTTGTGATGTTATTACCTTTGGAAGCACTGTAATTACCTGAAAGTCCGGGTTAGTGAGAGATGAGAAATTCAAGCTACTAAAACTTATTGAAGGTAAGATGAGTTGGGAAGATCGCAACATGGCATGCAAATTAATATAGTTACACTCTGCGTGCAGCTGGCTGTGTGGCATGTCATCGTTCCTGTACTCTCAAAATTACACAGAGAAAAGAGAACCTCATGTAAAACGGTCACAGATATCTACAGAAGGAAAACAGGGATCCAACCTAACAGAAACAAAACCGAGATCCTGAATGGAGAAGGAATGACTGGGGCAAACATCTGCCACTGCTGGAAAACAGTTCTTCAGGTTGATCTCAAGGACCCAGGACTCCAGCGCTGGGCGGTGGGTGGATCCATGGGTCTGCCGCACAAATACACACAGACTCTCACACAAGCACACACGCTCTCCCCGGAGCGGCGAGCGACAGGAGCAGTCACGCAGCGGCGCTCGCTGCCCCCAAAGTGGGGCAAGAAGTAAATCCTTCCCGCCCAGAAGAATAAAATGCCCCAAACACCGACAGGTTAAACATGGGTCCAGACCGCGCGGGATGGGAAAGGGGTCACACACGCACCTGCATTGTAAAAGCGGTCCAGAACCGTGGTTTCTCCAAAGTCCAGTTTCCCAAAATGCAGGGTCTCCAAGGTGGCGCCCACCGCCTCGCACGCCTCTCGCAGGCTCTGCAGGGCCTCGCTCTCGGCCACCACCAGTTGCCCCTGGCTCGCTTCATTGATCACATATGCCACCGTGGTCCGTCGGCTGCCTCCACCACCAGAGCTGCCCCGGCACCGGGTGGCACTGCTTGCGGAGGTGGCCGCGGGACACCCGATGCCAGGGGCAGCGGCGCTCTCCACGTTCCAGAAGCTGCCCGGCGGCGGCGGTGGCAGCTGGTGCTCCTCGCCCTCGCCTATCGCCGCCGCTCCTCCCCTCCTGCAGATGCCGCCCTCGGGGATGGTGCAGAACCCCGAGGGGGCGAAGGGCGGCACGGAGAAAGTGATGCCCTCGCCTGCCTCCGTGCTCATCTCTCCTGGCCGGGATGCAGCGGCGGCGGCTTCCCCTGCCCAGCCGCACCGCCTGGCCAGCCACAGCTCGGGGCTGCTCCGCGCCCGCCGGGCTAAGCAGCTGCCATCGCGCGCCGCGCCCTCGCCGCCGCGTCGCCGCCTCCTCTCCGGCGCCCTCTCCCCCGAGGGCACGCCGCTGCCCGGCGGCGGCTCGCTCCTCCTCGGCGCCTCCGTGGCCGCGCCGCTCGGCCGCTGCAGGGTTTAGAGTACAAGGGGTGGGGAAGCCGGGTGAGCGGGAAGGGACGGAGCTTCCTTTTCTTGGCTGGCTGACAAGTCGGCTCGCAAACCTGCGCCGCGGTGCAGCTCAAGGGCGCCGCGCTCGGGGTGCAGCCCGCCCTCGCCACCCGCCGCGCAGCGCCGCTCAGCTCCTTCCGTCCCGGCCGCTCTGGGAGGGGCCAGGAAGGGCGCCCCCTGGGTGCGGAGCTACCTGGCGCGCACCTTACGGGCGGGCGGGCTCCCCGGGCGGCGTCCCGGAACAGCAGCAGCGGCGGCAGCAGAAGGGACCCGCCTCCCTCCTCGGCGGCAGCTCCCCTTCATCGGCTGGATTTCCTCCTCCTCGCCCGGCCTCGTTTCTCTTCCGATTGCCTCCGCCGCGTCGTCCCCGCGCCAGTCTCGTCGCTCCTCGCAGCCGCTCGCCCTCTCCTCCACCAGCTTCTGGCCACCCACTCGACGCGGCCCCGAGTGTCAGGGTCCGCCCCCGGGGAGGACGCTGCTAGGAAGCTCGAGCTCGGACTGAACGGACCGCGCCGAGGCTCCCGGACCCCAGCCCTTCTCTGAGTGCCGCGCGTGGCGTAGCGTCCCCGTCCTCACCCACCCGGCCCCCACCTAAGAAGACTTGGAGCGCAAGCGATTACTGGGTGGCGCAAAAGTCTCTCCAGCCAATACTCGGTCCTCTGAGTCCGCCCCCGAGGCATTTCCAGTGTTCCCCGCGGCGAGGGCGCCCCCCTCAGGCCCTTGACGGCCTCGTTGACTGGGACCCTGCGCGGCGCTGGCAGGACAGGCTCTGGGAGGCCCACGCTGCGCGAGGCAGGAGGTGGCAAATAGCGCCCTAGAGCCAGGGCCTACACTGGAGGGTTGTTCATTAGTGACTGTGGCACTCCAGAAGTGGCAGGCTAAATTGATCAGGTCGTCCCATGTACTTTTCCTTTTTTAAAATTTCCAGTGGCTCCGGCCGTTTATCAGTAATGGGTAATTGATTAGTGCCGGCTGCTGAAGGGCTTAGCATTCTCATGTAGGATCTTAATCCCCCTACAAGTGCCAGATACTTAAGATAGAAGACGGAGTCTATACCCAACTCCACAAATTATCAGCAAGATGAAACAGGGGAATTACGTGACTTACTCTATTTTTAAACTGCACCAAGCTGGGCAGGGAGGGGAATACCCAGATTGTTTAAGAGCAATCAAAAAGTACCTACTTATCTGGGGAGCAAAGAATAGATTTGTAAGTTCCAGAGAACCCCAGAATGCTGTAATTGTTAAGAAAGCCAGCTCAAGTTACAATTAAGGAGCGGGTTTTGTACTTCCCGTCTCCAGGAACTGAGACTAAAGAGTCCTGTGAAAAAGGCAGAAGAAAATGTGAATGACAGTTTTTTGTGGATTTTGTTTTTGGGTTTTTTGTTTTGTTTTGTTTTTGTATTTGTTTTTTGGGTTTTTTGTTTGTTTGTTTGTTTGTTTGTTTTGAGTTGGAGTTTCGCTCTTGTTGCCCAGGCTGGAATGCAATGGTGCGATTCAACTCACTGCAACCTCTGCCTGGCGGGTTCAAGCGATTCTCTTGCCTCAGCCTCCCGAGTTGCTGGTATTACGGGCATACACCACCACACCTGGCTATGCCACCATGCCCAGCTAATTTTGTATTTTTAGTAGAGATGGGGGTTCACCATGTTGGTCAGGCTGGTCTCCAACCCCTGACCTCAGGTGATCCGCCCGCATCAGCCTCCTGAAGTGCTGGGATTACAGACAGGCATGAGCTACTCGGGAGGCTGAGGCAGGAGAATCGCTTCAACCCGGGAGGCAGAGGTTGCAGTGAGCCTAGATGGCACTCCAGCCTGGGTGACAGAGCAAAACTCCATCTCAAAAAAAAAAAAAGAGTTCTTTAATTTTCTCCAAGGTGGGAGGATCACTTGAGCCCAGAGTTCAAGATCAGCCTGGACAGCATAGATAACCCATCTTGAAAAAAAGAATTAAAGGAAGGAAGGAAATAGCCATGAGGAAAAACACCTAGCAGTTCCACAACTATGTCCTCAACAAATCAATGTGACAGTAGATTTTTCTAAAGGTGTGTAAAATAATAGAAGTAAATTTCTAGTAAGAAACTTTATGCTCTTCATGTAAAGTGGAATCTATGTGACCCACATTGGCTTTTGGAATTAATCTCAATAGTAAATAGGTAGTTAGTGAATCAGTAATTATACCGAAACAATGTTGGCGAGCTACTAATAATTATGTGCCTTTTGATATTTTCAACAACTTGTCAAACCTCCAAAACCTTGTAGGAGTAAGATAATCCTCCACTCCATGCTAACCAAGAACAATAAGCTCTAGAAATCTGTGACGGTCTTGTGAGGAAAACTAAAATGACTAAATGCTCAAGCGGCATTTTCCTATAGAAATACAAAATCTGAGATTTTATACAAAGCTATTTTCTAAAAACTGTAACTTTTTATACCCTCTCATCTTGTGCTTTCCTTTCTTTCAGGGACATTTTCATGCACAATTTTTATTTTTTTGTTTTATTTGCTGCCTTTTTTTTTTGAGACAACGTCTCCCCGTCACCCAAACTGGAGTGCAATGGCACGATCTCAGCTCACTACAACCTCCGCCTCCTGGGTTCAAGCGATTCTCCTGCCTCAGCCTCCTGAGTAGCTGGGATTTCAGGCGTCCACCACCATACCTAGCTAATTTTTTGTCTCTTTAGTAGAAATGGGGTTTCATCATGTTGGCCAGGCTGATCTCAAACTTCTAACCTTGTGATCCACCCACCTTGACCTCCCAACGTGCTGGGATTACAGGCATGAGCCACTGACTTTCCTGGCTTTTTTTAAATGTATTAACTTTAAATATGTTTCTGATGTTAGGCACCCAAACCCCAAAACCATGCTGAAATGCTGCTTCTGGCTGGTTCTGAGACTCTCCCTCTACCTAAAAGTCACAGTTTAGCTAATTTATGTTCCATAGCATGAGATAATGAGGAATTAGCTGGCACGATTCTGGAAGAAAGGACAGAAATCCAGAGGGTAAACCTACAGTCAGGGTTCCCTTTGGCTGTGGGATTTTTGTAGATCTGTATTAGGCAGCTGAAAGGCTGAAGTGTTTTTTGTTGTTTTTTTTTTTTTAAGATGGAGTTTCACTCTTGTTGCCCAGGCTGGAGTGCAATGACGTGATCTCAGCTCACCGCAACCTCCACCTCCCAGGTTTAAGAGATTCTCCTGCCTCAGCCTCCCAAGTAGCTGGGACTAAAGGCATGCGCCACCATACCCAGCTAATTTTTGTATTATTAGTAGAGATAGGGTTTCTCCGTGTTAGTCAGGCTGGTCTTGAAATCCTGACCTCAGGTGAAACGCCTGCTTCAGACTCCCAGAGTGCTGGGATTACAGCTGTGAGCCACCGTACCTGGCCATGAATTATTTTTAATGAAAAATAACAGTATTTTGCAAAACAAAACAAATCTAGAATGGTGACACCATTGTGCATTTTCACAAACCTTTTTAAGGTCTGGCTTACTCGATGACAGTGGATTCTCATTTTCTGCTTCTACATTCATGCTGTTGAAGCATATTGTTTTGGTTGAAGGATATGAAGAAAATCTGGAGAAGTTTCTGAAGTGTAGGAGGTATTTGAAGAAGTATATGAAGAAAACACACTGGGAGGAGTACAGTCATTTCCACTATGAAGGCACATATGAGTTCCTAAAAATCACTGAGCTATGCAAAATAGTGTTTTGTTAACTAATTTCAAGTTTTATTTTAGATTCTGGGATACATGTTCAGGTTTGTTACGTGGGTATATTGCATGATGCTAAAGTTTGGGGTATGATTTATCTTGCCACCCAGGTAGTAAAGAAAGTACCCTCAACAGTTAGTTTTTCAACCCTTGCTCCCTCCTTTCCTCCCATTCACAGTGTCTGTTGTGCCCGTCTTTATGTCTGTGTGTATCCAATGGGACCCTCTCCTGGGAACATCTTAAAACCCACAATCAGAAAGGTGAGGGGGCTGTTAGCTGGGCTTGGTGGCTCACACCTGTAATCCCAGCACTTTGGGAGGCTGATGGGGGCAGATCACCTGAGGTCGGGAGTTCAAGTCCAGCCTGGACAATGTGGTGAAACCCCATCTCTACTAAAAATACAAAATTAGCCGGGCATGGTGGTAGGCACCTGTAATCCCAGCTACTTGGGAGGCTAGGCAGGAGAATCACTTGAACCCAGGAGGCAGAGGTTGCGGTGAGCCAAGAATGCAAAATTGCACCCCAGCATGGGCAACAAGAATGAAACTCCACCGCAAAAAAAAAAAGAAAACTGAGGCAGAGGTTGCAGTGAGCTGAGACCACACCACTGCAGTCCAACTCGGGCAAGAGAGCAAGACTTCATCTAAATAAATAAATAATTTTTTTAAAAAAGAATTAAAAAAATAGAAAAAGAAAGGTAAGGGGCTGTTAGCAAGTAAAGGGAGAGCAGGAAAAGGTCAGAGGACTGCCTCTGAGGCCTAACACACTCACTATAACAAAAGACTATAACAAGGGTTATGGGAGTTACAAACCAGAAACCACAGATGGAAACCAATATATATCGTAATACCACACTCTGTTTATGGTTTCTTTTGTTACGCAGAAGCTGTTTAGATTAGGTCCCACTTGTCAGTTTTTCGTTTTGCAGCAAATTGCTTTTGAGGATTTAGTCATAAATTCTTTCCCAAGGCTGATGTCTAGAATGGTATTTCCTAGATTATCTTCTAGGATTCTTAGGGTTTGACGTCTTACATTTGAATCTTTAATCCATCTTGAGTGATTTTTTGTACATAGTGATGAGTAGGGGTCCAATTTTATTCTGCATATGGTTAGCCAGCACCATTTATTAAATAGGGAGTCCTTTACCATTGCTTATTTTTGTTGACTTTGATGAAGATCAGATGGCTATAGGTGTGCGGCTTATTTCTGGGTTCTCTATTCTGTTCCATTGGTCTGAGTGTCTGTTTTTGTACCAGTACCATGTTGTTTGGGTTACTGTTGCCTTATAGTATAGTTTGAAGTTGGGTAATATGATGCCTCTGGCTTTGGCTTTAGTTATTCAGGTTCTTTTGGGGTTTTGTTTGATTTAATTTGTTCCTGCTGTTCTACAGGCTCCTTTTAATTCCATATGAATTTTAGAATAGTTTTTCTAAATCTGTGGGAAATGATGTTGGTAGTTTTCTAGGAATACCATTGAATCTTTAGATTGCTTTGGGCAGTATGGCCATTTTAACAATATTGATTCTTCTAATCCATCAACATGGAATGTTTTTCCATTTGTTTGTGTCATCTATGATTTCTTTCAACAGTGTTTTGTAATTTTCCTTGTAGAGATCTTTCACTTCCTTGATTAGATGTATTCCTAGATTTTGTGTGTGTGTGTGTGTGGCTATGATAAACGGAACTGTGTTCTTGACTCTGCTCTCAGCTTGAACGTTATTGATAGAAATGCTACTGATTTTTGTACATTGATTTTGTATCCTGAAACTATACTGACACTGTATCTATTCTAGGAGCCATTTGGTGGAGTCTTTAGCATTTTCTAGGTATAGAATCATATCTTCAGGGAATGAGGTACAGTGGCTCATGCCTGTAATCCCAGGACTTTGGAAGGCCGAGGCGGGCAGATCACTTGAGGCCAGGAGTTCGAGACCAGCCTGGCCAACACAGTGAAATCCCATCTCTACTAAAAATGCAAAAGCAATTAGCTGAGCATGTAGTCTGTAGTCCCAGCTACTCCAGACGGAGATTGCAGAGAGCCAAGATCGTGCCACTGCACTGCAACCTGGATGACAAGAGTGAGATTCTGTCTAAAAAAAAAAAAAAAACAAAGAAAAAAAAGACTCTTCAGGGAAGAGATAATCTGACTCTTTTTCTTATTGGAATGCTTTTTATTTTTTTCTCTTGCCTGTTTGCTCTGTCTAGGACCTCCAGTACTATGTGGACTAGGAGTGTTGAGAGTGGCATCCTTGTCTTGTTCCTGTTCTTAAGGGGAATGTCTTCAGCTTTT